CCACAGGCACAGCTCCTACGAGTGGATGAGGAAAACCGTGCAAGCCACGTCCACAGGTACGAACGAGGGCACTGGGGGTGATGCTGAGGAAAGGTCTCACTTGCTGGGGGGTTTGCCAGGTTCCCCTTTCAGAGGGAGCCACACAGATGAACAAAGGTCCTTATTGCTCTGAGGGATCCTCGTGCTAAATATTGGGTCGATCACTCAATCACTTGACTGATTCTTACGTTTCTTCCTTGACCTCTAATGCTGTGGGAAATGAAAAGCAATGGCCTTTCACTTCTCACTTCAAATGTGTTTAAAAAGTTTGTGATATCAAATAATTGCTTTTAATAGGAGATTATAGGTGGGAATAGATTCCTCCTGTAGATGGGAATGAAGCAGCATGTCTGCAGAAACGGATCATGATCGAAGTATTGGACTTCAGCACCACCTGTGCTTTGCTTACTTCCCTCAAGTTTTGCAGTACTTATGAAAAGTTCAAGTGAAACATGTACAGCAGGGGGGTGGCAATAAGGCTTTGTATTAGAAACAGCCTCTCTGAACCTCAGAGCGCTGAAATGAAATCTGCCAGATCAAACAATGAGCCCATGCTTTAAAAACAGGGATGATAAGGAAAAGTTGGGTTCACTTTGGAGTAGCAGCTCTCAGAATGTGCAGGAATACAAAGATCCATGGGAACACAGTCAGTTAATGCAGCCACAGATCAGTCTCTATGTGTAACAGTCAATGAGTACAATCCTTCAATTGTATTTAACCAGGAAAAATTAGCCATGGACATGAGGGAAAGGTCCTGTTTGACTGGGAGGAGGAACAAGACAACAAAAGATAAATACTGAGCATCTGTAAAAAAAACCCCTGTACCTTGTCTTATATGAAAAAATTATGAAACAGGAAAGGGGAGAAGGATAAGAAAAAGAGGGGAAACTGCCTGAAAAACACAGAGGCACAGTCTGCTGTATTAAAGTATTTGATCCTCCAAGGTGCTGAGCAGCTCTGCCATGCACTGAGATCAGCAGAAATTAAGGATGCTCAGTTCCTCCCCTCCAGACATGCTCTCAGTATTCCAGTGTTCCATCCCTGGAAGGTCCCTTCCCTTTCAGCCCTCCCTCCAGCCCCAGCTCTGCTCCACACATGCCTGTAAATAATAGTCTGCAAAGCAAGTACTGAATCAATCTCTGGTGGAAAAGCCATTGCTGAAACCATAAGTTAGAGAAAAGAATGCAACTGTCTAGAAAAATAGTCTATATTAAAATAATGCCTCTAATTTATATGTATGGACAGAGCCATCCCCACTCCTGCTGAACACAACTTCAGTTCACAGAGAGTCCACAGATGTCACTAGGCCAATCAGAATAGGTTGTTACCTCAGGAAAATAAGAATTTTTGGGGAAAAAAAAAAGCAAGTGATTTTAAATCATATTTTTTCTTCACTGAATACAAGACAAAACAAAAGAGGGCCTGTTCTGTAAAAACTCACATCCTGCTTTTGGCTAGTCCTTCCAAGGGCAGTGAAATTGCTCATTAACTGTCTGATTTACAGACAGCAGAACCTTTGCTTCAATAATCCACTGCTCATCTCTTCTTTCCTTACCTGCCCTATGCTCCTGTGGATTCCAGCTTCAGCCTTTGAGAGCAAGACCTGATTTGTTCTGTCTCTGTGTCCCTTTGATAGCAGGGACTTAGTGAGATAGATTGATATTTTATGTGTATGTGTTACAGACAATACCCCCTTCCAACTGCCTGCCTAAGTAGCACATGTAGAACTTTCTAACTTTTCAAATTTCAAGTCTGCAAGGGTCAGAGCATTCCCAGGAGGAGCTGGGAGTGTCTCCATCCTGGAACGGTCTGACATGAGTATCTTCATGGCAGGAGGAATCAGCATCCCAAATGCCCATGGGCCATGTGAGGCCCTCTGAAGCTGGTGAGGGCCTGGCCATTCATTTGATAGCTATTAGGTCCTGCTTTAGGGAGAACTCCAGACTGGGAATTCTAATTGCTGTTTCTTTCCCTCTTATATATATTTTTCTCTGCTAGGCCAAGAAGGCTCTGTGCCAATAAATCTCTTTCACTGGAATTGGTTCCTTTCTGTACTTTCACTCCTTTTCCTCTGTTTAAAACCAAGGGCACCATTGTTCTTCAGTTTTCCAAAAAATAAAGTAATTTTTAAATATTTTCCCTTCCAGCAATGCCAGCTGTAGAATGTCACACTCTGAGTTTGGTTCTGTGCACGCAGGTGTTGCAGGTGACCTCAGGTGTGTGACCAGGCCAACTGCAAGGACCAGTGTTGCTTGCTGGGTCTTCTTGGATGGAATCCATTGCTTTTCCCATCCTTAAAGCTGTATGTGTCCACTGAGCATTATCCTTCTGTCTCTTTGCAAAACTTTAGGAATTTCAGTAGAGCAAGTGTAGGCAGGAGTCAAGGAATCATAGCTCTTATTTATTGGCTTTCCTTATTCCCTGTGCAATAGATAGGAACCACTGTTCCTAAAGATGAGAAAACAGTCTCAGACTTACCTGAGGTGATCAGAACAGAAATTATCTAGACAGGTTAATTTTATTATTTATTCATTACACCACTTATCAATATTATTGCACTGTGGAAACAATAACTATTAAGGCAAGTGATTTTTGCAAGATATTCCTGGAAGTGGTCAAGAAGTGTTCCTATAATCTTATCCCTTTAAGACCGGGAGAGATTCATTCCAAAGGTAACTTACTTTGAGCAGTGTGACTCATGGCAGCTACAGAAACAAGGTCCTGAGTCTGTGACATTTCCAGCTCCAGAAATTCCATAGTCAGCTTCTCTTCCTGGTGCTTTGTGGCCTCGTGTCCAGAGAGATGACAAACAAAATACTTCATTCCAATTTCCACCAATGCCTCATGTCCTACAGGCCCTTTGATACCCTGGTATCTACACAGCTAACCTGCAACAAAGGGAGAAATGATTTCAAGTCTTACTCAGTAACTTTAAAAACAACATCCAATGTAAAATGAAGACACCATGTCTTCAGCTGGTGTTAAGTGAAGCTTATCAGGCTTTGCTACATGAAACCTCTGGAAGATCTCAGTATTTAATGTGAGACCATCACCCTGTTTAGTGTTACTGAAATGCATTTCCTGCAGAAAAGACCTACCGAGGCTTTCATGCATCATTCTCTCTCTGGCTGAAGGATGTCTAAGTGCCTGTCCCTGCAGCTTTGGAGCTGGAAGGACTGGGACTTGCTCCTAAATTCAGTGCACACAGGGTTCAATGTCCTATCACTGCACTGGGAGGGTGTCCAGGACACAGGAAAGAGCAAATGTGTACTCAGGACTCCTGAAGGAGGAAACACTGACTAATAAACACTGACTAATTAGTATTTTTCAATCATGAACACTGATAGAAAAGACCCTTCTCTAACCCTTACACTGCTCCTGCTCACTGTCCTCAACCCCTGCTTGGAGAGGGCAGCACAGCCAAGGAGCAACTGTAACCGAGAACAGAACAAGGGCATAGCTATACATCTGAGGTGGTAATTCCACACACACATGACATAATACAGCAAATTCTTTGGCAGAAAGTAGAATAAAACCACCTCAAGAACAAGTTACAAATCTCCTCCTGTTGATTCCAATATTTTTACAGAGGTGTGTCGTGGCTCCCACAGGAGCAGAGTTGGCTTTCTGGCTGTGTGAGATCCCAACACACACCTGCGGTCAAAGTGTGCCCAAAGCACCGAGTGTGAGCAGGGAACTCCCAGGCAGTGCCAGCCAAGGAGTTTGCTCTGAAGCTGAAAGTACCTCTTAAGATCTGCACTAATGTTACCACAAAACAGGGAGGGACAAGTTTTGAAGCAGGTGAATAATTATGAGCAGAGCCTTCTCCTGTAGATGACAGCTCTCCTCCTATCATTCTTCTTCAATAAAAGTTTACTCTGAAGACATAAGGGCAATTCTTCTGCTGCTGCTGAGGGTGCTGAGAGCATCAGGACCAAATGCACTGTAAATGTGCATTTAGTCTCTGAATGAAGAAGTTCTATCCCCTCAAATCTAAGGAAAAGGAACAAGCCTCTTCAGAAGCCATTCCTGCAAAATGAACTCCATGATCCTTTTGGGTCCCTTCCAACTCAGCAGATTGTGTGATCCTGTGAAAATGCTGAAGGCCTAAAGCACACAGAACACTTGGAAAGAAAATTCAGTTACTCACTTGCCTTTTAGTCTGTAGAGTCACTGGCAGTGGATTTCCCCTGATTTGCCCCTCAGAAATGCACCTCCTTTTTCTGCAGATTGTGTCTGTCTGCAAACAGGATCCACACAGGGCAGCCTGTCCCAGCACTGCTTAAAGGGGATAAAAACAGCTCTGCTTTGGACTCACTTCTGTAGGGTGAAGAGTATTAGAAAAGTTCACACTAGCAAGGGCAAGGACAGAATTTGGCCAATGAGCTTTATTTCAGAATAGCAGAACATGTTCAAAATTGAAAACAGGAGGGGAACTCTAAGTCCGTTGAATCCTATGATCCTGCTCTGTTCTTTTCAGCATGAATAACCTGAACATGTATGGCAAGAACAAGGAACAGGACACAGCAGAAAATGCAAACACAGAATTTCACCATGTTTCTTTCTGCAGTTAACTTTGCAGTAATGCCTGGGGCCAGGACACCTCCTCAGCACACCAAGATTTCTGGCAGGAATATTATACTCACATTACACAGGACTGGATCCATGGAACATTTTCTAATACAATGGCAATGTAGTTTTGGGGGTTTTATTAATTTAACTTTAAGAACATCATGTGCAACACAATATCTGTCTTCAAAACTTACTTTAAATTATTTTTGCTTCACAACTTCAACTGAGGCAGTGAAATTACACTGGGGAGAATCTGCCCTTTACTTTTCCTACACTTTTAAAGTACATAGAGAGTTAGAGATAGTCCCAAACAAATCTCTGGGTCCTGATCTCTGACAGTCCATATCTTTATAAGCTCAAAAATTAACATTAGTTTCTTAACACTAAGCTAACAGAGAGGTGCAGGTTTGAACTGAGCCCATCCTCAGGCCAGAAAGCTGTTCCCCATTTCCAGCTGATTTAAGGTAATTCCAGTCACCAAGTACAGACATTCCTTCCCCTGAAACAAAACCCTGGAAGCCAGGCTGTAATCCCACAGCAATCCCACACTATTCTGTACTGTGACATCCTCAGGCAGCTCCTGGACTTTATGAACAATGCTGATTTCAGTAGATGAAGAATATTCCTGAAAAGTTAAGAGAGGAGGCTCTGAAAGAGGAGCCAGGGCTGGTTCTAATGCTAATTTATTTTGCTTTGTAAACTAGTTGTGAGGTCCGATGGTGGGTTTTTTTTTCCTTTCCTGGCCTACATTGTCTGAGGTTTTGAGGCCGATCTGTCATATTGAGGCAGCAGACCCTTTTAACACTTCACTTTGCTTTGATATGCAGCCTTGTCTCTTCCTTCTCCCTCCTTTCTTCAGGAGTTATATTGCCGGAAAGGGTGATGATTTTCACAGCAAATAAAGAGGCCTTCTCCCAGCTTTATTGTCTTCAGAAGAAATGCTCTGTGAATTTTATGACCAATGGGAAAGTTGTTCCCTTCCCCCAACTCAAAACTTGGCCAGTCACAAAAATTGCTATGGTGGATGTGATAGAACAGGATTGTTAAACTGTATCTTACTAAAAGCTTTCTGAGTCTGAAATGTCTTATTTTTTGCTGGTCCAAAGGCACTTCTCAGTAGTCAGAGGTTTTGGACAAAACTCACTCTCCTTAACCAGCTCATTAAAGCCAGGAAATCCATTTCCCCAGGACAAAGGCAGGCAGACTGCAGAGGTAGTTGCTTCAAAGCTCTTTTGTTTCATTTCTCTTCCACCCAACCACTATTAACCTCTGCAACCACCTTGCAATTCCCCAGGATAATTGTCCCTGGCAGAATGTGTTTCCAATGGAACTGACACCATATTGCTGATTATGATTTTAACCTGGCACCGACAAAAGATCCTACAAATCTAAATGTTTGCAGTTTCACCCATCCAAGGGAGTAAAATGTGCAGGATTTGACTAAAGAATTGGATCAGTACAGTAACTTTTATCATTTCATCATTAAACTCTGCCATTACCTCCTAAAGAAGTCTGAGAAGTGAAGAACATCCTTCTGCTGTCTCTGGGGTGAATCCATTAGTTCTCCCTCAAGTTTTACTCAGTTCATACTTCCCCTTGAAATAAAAGGCATCACTAAATAAACCCAGTAGAAGGGCTGCAGGCTTTGGCTCAGCAGGCAGTGGAGTGGATCCATTCCATCCAACAGACAGAATGCAGAGGCTAAAGTCTCTAACTGTTCAGGGATAGGTTCTGATGCTGCTGTTTGTTAACTTTGGCAAATAACAGTGTACTTTGCCTTCAAAAGGAAAGGCCATGTGCAGACTAATTCCAGCCCAGCATCCAACAAAGGCATCAGGGAGACTCTGCCCTCAGCGGGAGTAAAGGCCCAACAGACTAAAACAGGGCTCTGCCAAAACTGAAAGTGTCTTCTCAGGAGACCCTGGCAGATCTCAGCTCCCACTGCCTGTTGTCTCTCACAGAGAGTATTACACTGAACAAACAAACAAACAAACAAAAAATCAAATTAATAAAGATAAGATTTTGTGACAAATCAGAGCATTTTTCTCAGAACATTTCTCAGAATTTCCTTCCTTTTGCTTTTCTACTTTTTATTTTCTTAACTTACTTTAAAGAAAGAAATTAGATATCAAAGATCCCAAACTTCCTTCAAAAAGAAACCAGATATTATCATTTCCACTAAAAAAAAGCCCTGAGAGCTACTAATACAAAAATAAAAGATTTTACAGGAGAAAGTTCTGTTTTCCTTGTACATTTAATTTCTTCTTCAGTTTAAAAACAAATAAAACAACCCCACAACCCCCTCCTACTCAGATAATAAGGATTTAAGCACTTAAAACCAGAAACAGGAAGGTTTATCTTGACGTTTACCACCTTGTTTTGGCAATAGAAGAACATTTGATATTTGTCTGTGGCTTCTGAATGAGAATAGAGGTCAAGATAAGATCACCTTGTTGCTCTTTTGTGTACTCCACGTTAACAACACAAAGGACACTAAGGAAACATGTTAAACATTTTGTCCCATAGAATGACCCCAAATTCTCATTTGGAGAGGGAAAAAAATCCCCGAACCAAGCCAGCAGCTAGAGAGATCAAAAGTTAAAAAATATTAAGTGAGGCATAAAAGCACCACAGGTGACCATATGTTAAACAAACAATTTACACTTGGAGTGAACGAAAACAAATGTCCTGGGATTTATGTGGACTGAACTGAGTAACTGCTGCTCCTTAGAGACTCTAAAATTCTTACCCTAATGTTGTAAAATTAACAGCACTTTTCAGTTGATTATCGGTGTAAAGGGAATTGGGCTAATCCTGCTTTCACTGCAGCTTTGCACTGACAGAAATGCTGCTGAAATGAGAATGTCCCTTGTGTTGTCCCCAGCCCAGCAGAATCTTCACAGGGGAGGCAACAGATTGACTCCAAGTGGTTTGGCTGCATGGATTCGGCAGAGCCCCCAGCGTTAGGAACAAACACCCTCTTTCCCCCACTGAAATACTCCAAGTACTGAGGCTGAGGGCCCTCAGCAGAGTTGGGCAGTGCCCAGAGCGTTGTAAAGGCACTATTAATGAATGCTGCTCTCCCAGGGCAGAGCGTGGGAGCTGAAATCGGATGTTCTACAAGCCTGGGGAGAGTCCTGGAGAAACCCTGTCCTTAGGGGAACCAGAACCATCCCCAACCAAGGTGGAACAGTGTTTATTTACAGCATGGCACTGCCCAGGGCTTCCTGTGCTCAACAACTCTGCATCTAGGATCTCTCCAAACACTACAAAGAGGAGCAGAGCATGAAGACCCTTCCAATGCAAGCAGTAGGCTGGGGAGCCAAAAATCCCTACAAGTAGGAAAGTACTGACTGTCAAATGCTATAAGAAACAGAAGTGATGTGGCTCTCAACCATGACCACACAGAGAGCACAGCAAGTGGAAGGTAATGCTGATTTTAAACATGTTCAGCCCTTAAAACCAATGAGACATCACATCTCCCTCCACAGATGGGAAAAAACTTAAACCCAAATCAGGAATTAGGGGATAAAGCACTCCAAGACTCTGCTGTAGTTCTGTACCCTGAATTCTGAACTTTGGGTGCCACTTAAACTTCAAATGCAAGGGGGATGGGAAGGAGGGCCTAGGGAAGAAGGAGGCCTTTAGCACCACTGATAGATGACCCTCCAGCTCTTCTCTCCTGCTGGGTGCTGTGGGCCATGTTCCTTTGGGGTCTACTCAGAGACTGACACTTTACCAACTCAGTGCCTCAGAATTTATTTCATTCCATTCAAAAATAACTACTCTTAGAGCAATTAATAGGAGTTTGTGGAATCTCTTTTTGAGGAGTTAGGTATCCACATATTCTCTTCAGAAGAAGTTCTGTAAGCAAACAGGAGCTGCTGTGTGAAGCCACCCCAGGCCTGCAGCAACAGCAGGTGGGTACAGGCAGAAGGCACAGGACACCTCCAGTTCTGTGCATCGTCTGAGAGAACCTGGACCTACTGCAGTGACCACTGGGGACACAATTCACAACCCACAGCACCACAGTGGCACACATGGCAAAAAAACACCAAGTGGAAGTGCATTCCCTGTCCCAGACAATGGACAGCCTAAATCCATCCATGTAGAGGAACGCCCATATAGAGACAGACAGACAAGCAAGCACCAAACACTGGTCAGGCTGTGCTTAGCAGAGATGGTAACACTGCTCCCAACACAACATGATCCAATCTGTCAAACATGTGGATGACCTCAGGCCAGGGCTCAGGCCTTGGCTTTGAGCAGGTGCTGATCTCCAGTCCATGGACTGCCTGATGTGAGTGTTAACCACAGGGGAAAGGGGGGTGAGAAAGGAAGCACCAGCAGCCTCTCCCATTCTCAGTTCTCTTCCACTGCAGCCACACATCCTGTCCTCCGAAATTCCCCTCTATGGAATCCATAAACTTGCAGGGCCTTGCATCTGTGTTCCCTGCTGTCATTTCCATTGCCTTTTAATGGCCTGGCCACTGCTGAGCCCCAGCTGCTCCACTCAGCTGCACCCAGGGCTGAGCAGAGGCAGCAGTGCTGCCTGCAAAAGAGCAGATGCTGCACTCCTCTGCCCATTGTGAAGGATTATTGCTTTCCTTTTCTCTTTTTTATTAACTGTCATCTAAAAGATCTATGTTACTATTCCGTGTGCTATTATCAGGTTGTGGACAGACGGTGCCAGACCCTAAGAGAAAACACAGCCTCCAAACTGCAGGAACAATCACAGTGTTGTAAGAATTTTTCTAGCAACAACAAGTGAGGGACTTTGGAAGCTCTCAGTATTTTCTGTGCAGTAAAATGTTCTTCCCAGTCACTGCAGCAGGTAGCAGTCTTTGGGCTCCAGGACAGAGAAATAAAGGCAGTTCGCCCCCGGGCAGGAAGCTCGGATCAGAGCTGGGAACAGAACCCAGCTTTCCTGGTTCTTTCTTCTCAGCCAGAACACCTTCCCTTTCCCAAATGATAACACAGGGGTGATAAAGAGCATGAGAAGCAGTTTATCATCCATTTACTAAGGAGGAAACCTAATATCTGATGGTATGAACCTCTTGTGTTGAAAATCAAGATCAAGACAAGGGATTCACACTGGGTAAGTGCATAGAAATCAGGCCTAAAACACCCACTGATATTTGCAAATGTAAGGCTAGATATTTTGTGTAACTTAAGTTAAAATATTTTAGCTTGAAACAATGTGTTCTTCTTTCAAAACAGGTAAAACAAGAACAAGAGAAAAGTACCGAGTGGTTTACACAGACCATCAGAGATTAGAGCTAGAGAAGGAGTTTCATTACAACAGATACATCACAATCAGGAGGAAGTCTGAACTGGCTGCAAACCTAAGGCTTTCTGAGAGACAGGTAGAGTATGGATCCCATGGATCCCCCACCCAGGATTCCCTTTGAATTTATTACTGCTGCAGAGGAGATAATGGTACTGGTGAGGAACACACAACTGCCAGTGCCTCCCATAACCAAACAGGGGGACTGGGTTCCCTCTGCAGCGAACACAACCACCACCTGCACACACAGTCCTGCTCTGAGGAACAGGAGCTAAGGAATACCAACAAATCCTGCCTGGATTTCCCTCTGAGCAGTGGGAACAGGGAGAAATTTCTGCTGACATTTCTAAAGCAGAAGTCCTGGTTCTGCTGAAGCCAGTGGGAATTCCATAACCAGGTCAGTCTGAGTGGAGAATGGGAGTGATGAGCTCAGGTATGTTCAGGACACTTGAAGGTGTTTGTGTTTTCAGCTGTTAACCTTTTGTTAAATAATTCCTACATACTTGCTACTCCTTTCTCCTGCCCCTATTTTCTACCACCCTCTCCAAATCCCACTTCTGTTCCCAGAAGATAACTTAAAGCACAATCCTGTGACTCACCATTGTTTTATGGGCTCTGCTGAGCAGGGACAGTCCAAAATCCACCCACCTGTAGCACTGTCCATCCAACTCGAACCTGTCTCACCCAGCACATCCTGGAAGAGCTCACAGAAATGGAGAAGGAAATATTTCTCAATCTGCTGTTGAATGCAAGTATTTAATTATTGAAAATTGCAATTATTTCAGCTGGGTATAAAAAATACACTGTGTGTCTTTTTGCTGGCTGTCAAAACATTAATAACTTGACTTCATTATGCTGACTTCAAAAGTTATGGCCTTGCTTCAGCCAATCACATTTACTTGAAACTTCCTAGTGGTAATTCCTGATAAACCCTTTTGTTGGTATATTTGAAGAGGTGAAACAAAACCATGTGATGTGTTTCTTTGTCATGTATTAGAGTGTTTCCTCAAATGTTTCCAAATATGGCAACAGTTTTTGCCATATTTGCTCTTCTTCATCAGCAGTATGTCACAAAATTAATTCCAATGCATAAAACCTGCATCTCTGGTAAGATTAAAAAAAAGCATGTGATAGATTCTCCCCACTACCCTTCAGTACAAATTAAACAAGCCCATGGGTTGAACATGACTGAACACTGTCCCATCCCAACCTCCACTTAAAACCTGAAAGGATTTTCTGGAAAACCTTTTTTCCTGCCTATGCCAAACTCCCATCCAGGACACTGGAAGGAATAACTCAACACAGAAGGACAAAGAACAATCATTTAAACAAGGAAGGAAAGATGCAATATCCAATTAAGAAAAAAAAAACAAAATAAAACATTGTTAATATAGGAAGGATACAGAAATAAAGGAGATGATGAGGGCAAGAAAGAAGAGAGAAAATGAGACTTCAGAGGAAGAGAGACATGGAAAAAAAAGAATACTGAAAAGAAGCAGGTGAAGAACAAGTCAGACTGATGCAACTGGACATGCTGGTTTTTAATCTGCCATTACAGATCTGAACTTACTTGTACTTATTTGGTATGACCCTCTGGTGTCCACTAAAATTCTCTCTGGATCTGCCACAGATCTGCTTCCCTAGTTTAACAACAAACCAGAACAAACCCCTAAATTCACAGGCAGATAAGAACATTGAAGCCAGAGGGGAATTCATAAATGCTGGTTTAGTTTTTAGACTGTCCCATCTTTTCATACATTTTGGCAAATGTATGGGAAACTGAATTATTTTGGCACAATGAGAATGAAAGAGATCTGAGAGCACTTGAGACTGCTTCAGTGGAACAGTTTGGCACTGAAATGATATTCCAGAACTAAGACAACAAAATGAACTGCCAAACATCTCAGATGACAGCCTAGGACTTTAGAGACCTAGTTCAGATTTACACAAGCTTTCCATGTAATTGAATTCTTCAACTGTAAAACCATAATAATGCCTCAAGGCACCAAGGCTGTCATAGAGACTCCTTAAAAGGTTTTGTGGACTTCACCAGTGGTTTTGTTTTAAAACACAACCTGGCAGCCACAGATGTTATCACCTCTTACAGTTTTACCTCCTTTCTGATCATCATTGTCTTTCCCTTTCCAGATTCTAGTGAAGATCTAAACAGATCAGTATTTCTCAGCAAACCATTGATTTTTCTTGAGGTTATAGTAAACCCAAAGAAAAAGAAAAATGAGAAAAGTGTTTCCTTTGCCATTTAAACACCAACAAGAAAACACAACATACCTGAATGACGTAGCTTATTACACTGACTAGATCTGATACAGAGCCACTTCCAAGGATAAACAGCTGGCTTTTACTGCCTCAAATCCAACACTGGGGATTCACATTCACCCTTTCAAACCTCAGCAAGTTCTGATGTATTTTCAGTTGGCTCATCAACTTCATCTCATTCCTCACTTGTTCCACACCAACCAAAATCCATGTACTCTTCAATGGGTCCTTCCTTTCTTCCCAAGGATAACTGTGTCCCTGGGATGTGGTGTAAAGCAGTAGCACATTCTGGCTCCATCTGTGAATGCAATAAAAGGCGTTCAGCTATCAAGGCACTGCTTATACAACACTTTGAATTACCATGGAGTCCCAAGGGTAGTGCACTGGTGAAACTCTACTCAGAACTGCATTTGCACTGGCTCACACACTGGAGATCACCAATTCCTGTGCAGCATCCAAACAGGAAAGCTTTTGTGCCTCAGTTTATAGGCCAGGAACAGATTTTGACTTGCCCTGACTAGGACATATAGTTTTCAATGCAATGATACTCTTGGATCCTTTTGACCATCACTGTGACCCATGAGATTCTGTTCTGTTAGATTTTGTTTAAAAAAATAAAATCAAATTAATCAAAGGTCATTCCATAAAGAAATACCTCTAAACTAAAACTGAAAAATACTTTTTATCAAGCTATTACGAAATATTTCATTACCAGCCAGGAAAGATTACCAATGTGAAAAACAAGCACACAGCCCTGTTGTCTCACTGTGCCACTGCCTTTCTCACTGGTGCTCATGGCACTGATGTTCCCTGTGATTCTGTGAGTAAATGCACTTTATCAGCAACTGAAAACAGCTTTCCTCTGCCCCTTTACAGGTGAAAATCTGGTTCCAGAACCGCAGAGCCAAGGAAAGAAAGTTAATGAAGAAGAAAATGACTCACTTCGAGGGCAGCAGCATGGGCTCCCTGCAGAGTGACTCTGGCTCCGTGAGCCCCATGCCCGTCCCTGACCCACAGACTCACTCCGAGATGCCCAGTTCCCTGTTCCCAGCGCCCCCCCCGCCCCCCCCCGCTCCCCATGGGGGGGTTGCAGCACCCCGGGGGGCTGCAGCAGGTCGTGGCCTCGCAGTGAGGCTCCTGCCAGCAGGAGCACCGGAGCACTGCCGCAGGGACGGGGCAGCGGGGCGGGAGCCCCACGACACAGGCCTCAGGGACAGTAACTCGAGAGCCGGGTCTGCAGGACAGCACAGCTTCCCAAGGGCAGTGCAACTGTGCCAGGAGCCTCTGAGGAGGATGTGGTGCCACAAGGCAAGGAGTCCTCCAGCCAGGGAGGCACCAGGAGAGCTGGGAGCAGACACAGCCCCCTGGGACAGTGCAGTGCAGACTGTGCAGTGCAAGCCTGCCCCAGGAACCCCCCAGGGCTGGGGCAGCTGCGCCCCAGGGACTGCCCCTGGCCCCCGGGAGAACATTCCTGCTGCTCTGAGCCCCACAGGCTCTGAGTGCTGAGCTCCCTGCATGGACTTTACACACGGATCTTGACAAATGAAAACCTGGCTCATGTGTTTCAACCCACTTGATGGAAAGCCTGGATCCTGGTGGTTGCACTCACTCCATGTTAAGGGCAAAGGTCAGGGATGAGCTTTTTGGAATGTTTTGGTTTTGACAGGTATGATTTCCAATGCTCTACACACTGGTACAAACACACACTCTTCATTCTCGCTGGTAATGTTTTGAAAGCATTCTGGAATTGTGAATCTTGGCCCGAGTTCATTTTTGGTCAAAGAAAATTCATGTCAGACTCATTTTGGATCCTAAAAGAAAGAGCAAAGGGGGCAGTAATCCTTAAAAAAAGTGTAGGTATTTTGAAAAGTGACTGCATTTCATGAGACAACAGAGCCCATGGACAGAGATGCAATAATTGCATTCAACCAATTTTAAATTTGTTCCAGTTTTATGAGCTATTGTGGCACTAAAAAAATCTGAGAAGCCAAATTATTGGAAGAAAAAACAAACAAAATATTTCACTTAGATGTAAGCTTTCAGCATTTTTTAAGAGGGTCTCAATTCCTGAAGTGCTGATCTTTCCCATACTGAGCAGAATTTGGTAGGTAATCAGTACTTAAGAATAATCCAGATACCTCCTAACATGACTGCCAATTGCATGTGCATAACTTCTGTCTGCAAAAGGAAAATTTGGGAATTTATACCTTCATTGTCAAAAGCAGTTTAGAAATTCAGGATGCCTTTCTTCACTAATTTCCATCAAGGTGTCCTCTGAAATATCTCTGTCACTGTTGCAAACAAGACTTAGGAGCATTAAGTCATTTAGGCACTACATTCTTTTTCTCTTTTTTCCTTAATTATAATAAATAGTACTATTAGAGCATCAAAATGTTGGTAATGTGAAATTACTTTGTATATAAAGAACATTAAAATAAATTACTTTTTTCATAACCATTTTCCAGTGTGGTATTAGCTACTGTAGAAAGTGAACATGAAGTTTTTCATGATTAACCTGTTACTGACTCGGAATACCAAATTTAAAAGGAGGGTGATGGTAAGAAAGCTTCCAAAAATTAGAGGAGCGTGGTAAGACCAGGATGGTTCAGGGAGCTGCCAGTTTTCACCAGTTCTTAATTTTATTTATCATTTTCTGATAAGGACAGTGCTAAATAAAAGTAGAATTCAACTTCAACTGGAGCCATGGGGGCCATGGTAACATTCCCACTCATTCCTGTCACAATGGTGGGAACAGTCTGGAGCTTTGCACAGGAAACAGGGCAGAGCAGGAACCTGCAATTCAAAGTTCAGCAACAGAAAGACTCCACTGGTTTCCACATGGTCTGAAAAGAGGAGCACGGCAAACACACGTGGGAACAAAAGCCATTTCTCATCTGTATCCAAAGCCAACCACTGCCCTCCCCAGAGAGGTCTCCATCAGATGTATCCAAAAGAGGAATCCACTGGAAACACAGAGAACAGCCAGTCTGTCTGCAGAGGGAAATGCCAGAGGTGTTACCTTTGCTTCACACACAGATTTAACTTAACAGACTGCAAGAGGTTCCACAAGAGAACCAACCTCACACTGGCCAATTAACCAGAATTATGCTGACTGACTAGAGAAAAAACAATCGAGATTTCCAGATTCAGACTTTCAAAAGGTAAGAATACAGAGGGAAACTTGGTCTTTTGTACTGATACACAATAATTTAGGTCCTAGTTCTAGCAGAACTTCTAAAAGCAGCCTGGCCCCAGGGTTCTGCAGAATTAAGTGCAGAGCTCCCTATTTTAATCACATTTCCATGACACAGCTTAATTTTACAATAATATTTCTAAAAGGAAAAAGAAAAAAAAGTACTTCAAGGAAAAACTTGAAGAAATATGTCTGAACACAACTTCTTTCTCTTTAAAATTATTTGAACATCATTCAAAGAGAGGGGGATCTGGCAAAACGACCTGGTTTATCTTGTTTACATGTAGAAGAGTTATTGAGGAAGATAAGTGAGCACTTTGAAGATCTGCCTCATTTCTGCTCCAGTTTGCTGAAAGCATGCTTGCTATAGGTTGCTATGTGTTCCCAATCAGAAGTTGTTAAGTACACAAAATAAGGCTGGATTTTATTTGCAGAAGCACATGTTCAAAGGTTACAATTTATTGCTCCAAAAGCAGTATCTATAAACCAGGGCAATACCTTAGAGATTATTAACCTTCTAGTTATGCCAGTGGCCGTTTTAAATAGTTGGATTTTTTTGTGTAAAATTTACCAGCAATCCATCTAACTATTTCCAATGTGCTTTAATCCTTTAAACAGCAGCCCACCAAAACCCAAAGAAAGTTATTTTTCTCTCTGAAGCTTGTGCAGTGCTGTTGCTTAGATGATGTATTGTGTATAATTAAAAACAAGAGAGACATAAAACTGGAGACAAATCAACTGAAATGATTTTGGTGCAGCGCTGTGAGTCATAAAATACTGGGACCAATCCTCAGGATAATACTTTGGGTGTATCATAAAACTTAACACTTGTATCACATCTAAAAACTAGGGACACCAAAGCAGAGTGTTGTGAAGATGGATTGGTTGTTAGCAAAGTGCCTTGAAGAAGAAAAGCATACCTTAGACTACATCACAGGAATATCTAAGCCCTTAATCCTAACTGCAATTAAAAGAACAATTAAGGAATATCCAGTTTTCCGAGGAATTTGCTGACCTTTACACCCCATTTTCCAGTGAGAATTGGGATCCATATGGTATAAAAACACCACGAGCAGCAGAGCAAACAGCACCTTCTACAAAACCTTCATGCAAGGAAGCAGGATACACAATTCAAAATGCTGTTTCTAACCCCAAACCCTTCAGTGATTGCTTAGGGGTGATGCAGTCATTGAGGGACAGAGGAGAGAGCACCACAGCTGTGCCACCTGCTATCCCAGAAGCAGATTCCAGAATACATTAATTCGGGATGTTACCATGGAAATTAAAAAGCAGACTCCAACTTTAACACCCTTACTGGGTTTGCTGGTGCCCTCCAGGCTTACTCCCAGCCAAGCCTTTCCAGCCAGCACATGCGCTGGGATGGCACATCCGTGCCAGTGATCCACGCAGGCCCATTGCAGGTGGCACTGGATGTTACTGCCTGGACACATGATTGTGCAGAACTCACCACGTAAAGGAATAGGCATGGGTTTTATGATTAATGTTTGCCAGCTGTTTTCATACTCAAAGAGCACAATTCTTTTCCATTTTCTAAAAAAACCTGAGCTGTATCCCAGTAAATAGAGGGGGTTAATTAGGATACACCCTGGCTGCTCTTGGTTCCTAAGCCACAATAGACACAGGCACTGTAAGGCAGGACAGACCTTCCACAGCCAACAATCTCTCGTCTGGGAGTGAGAAGAGTTCAATCTGTGGGACAGAAGTGGCAGTGTGGCAGGGCCATAAACCAGAGTATGGCAGGCAGAGCACAGGGGAGGCACCACCATCTATGGAACCTTATGCAAGAAATCCCCCCAAAGGGCTCCTGGAGGCTCACAGGGAGCACCCAGATGTCCCCCGGGGTTCACATGGAACTCCTGCCACAGCTGTGGAGCTCTAAGACATACTCTGATTTCTGGCAGAACCTGCTCTGGCTTCAGCCCATTCCTCCCTGGCAAATGCAATACTGATGCAGATCATACATGAAATGCATTGACACTACTTTTAATAAAACACATTTTAACGCTTTAGAAATTAAAGATAAGTCATTGTTAGCAGCAGTTAGAAAATCAATAGTGGGGTACATAGAAGGGCAAATACACTCAGCTTTCAACCAGTCACTCTCCATCATTTTTCAAGAGGATTTGTTAAGAGCCAAAATTTCAGAGCATGAAATTAAAATTTAAATCACTGACGAAGGTTTCACAGACATCTGGCATATTTATTTCTTCTGTCTCTATCTTATGAAAAACAAATACACTGGAGGGATCAGAGACACACACAGGGCAGAACTGACATTAGTGATATATCCCTTTTCACTTTTTCCCAGAGGAGGTCAGTTCAGCAAGTGAAAACAGCTCAGTTTTGCTCACTCAGCTCTCTGGGCTGTGCCGCATCTGCCAGATATGGCTTGGCACATGCTTGCCTTGCAAATCCTGAAAATGAGACCTAAACTATGGTGTTGGATATTAAACCAGCCCAATTAAAAAGGCAAATAAAAAAATTCAGAAGCTTTATGTTTGTAGAACCTTCAGTAAAAGCAAAAGCAGTGTCTTTAACTGTTCTAAAATTTTAAAACCATCTGCCTTCCTTCATCACTTGTCACGTATTTTCCCAACAGAACTGCCCTCAGCTGACAGCAAACCACGCAGTGACTGACCTTTCCTCAAGATTCACACAGCTGAACAGTAATTTTAGGAGGAATGAGAGTGCATGCAAAGCCCAGCCTGAATACAGGGTCAATAACGCATCCAAACCACTGCACTGAACTCTCAGCAACACAGAGGTCACTAACCATTCCCTCAAAATTCCAAGCATGCAGTTACAAAGGGATGGGCGAGAAGCATTCCTAAGCCTGGTGTTCCTGAAGTGTTATTTGAGTGGGCATCTGGAGGCAAGAAAACAAACATCTGTTCCTATCACCTGAGCCAGAATGGGGC